ATCAAAGTGCCACCCTTCACATCGGCCAATGTTTTCGGAGTAACCTGAATAACATAAAATTATGTAAAAATGACGCCTAGTCTGTGATGAAAAGCTGTTTGTTCACATTAACAATCTCCCTTTACCTCCATACAGTATTCATTCTTGTTCTGAATCAAATGATTTAAGATTTCTGCATGAACTAGTTAAGGATACTGATCACGATAAAAAAACTGTTCATGGGTAATTGATAAGAAAATGTCAAAAAATAAAGACTTGAGTAAGGATACTCAAGTCAACTATGGCACCCAAGTTATCAGAATTGGCAACGAACACATACTCCTTACCCTGTAAAATAACAAAGAAACACACAACATACAGGGTAAGATCATGACAATGATTACTAATGAAAGTCCAGGACAGATCAATTTGATTTCTGGTGTCAACCTGGATATAAGAGCATCAAGTTTGCCACTGTTTGATAGTGATGGGAAGACATCCCCATGGCCAGGAGGGTACCTATGAATGAATGGTTTATTTATCAGTCAAACTTGGAAGTCTATTAACATAGACATGCTCAAGCTCTTAATCTTTGAATGGGATGACTAATAACAAATATAATGTTTACTAGCTCGCTCAAGTACCACATCTAAATGACTAAACATAATACAAACAACAAGTCTGATTTTATTTTGATTGACATATCTAGCGATTTAAACTAAATTTCAAACTGGTAAAAGAAATGGTATTTACTTATTCCTTATGCAGCAGGCAAAGAGCAGTATCACTTGGAATTAAGCCACATTGGAAAATCCAAACCAAAGTCTAAATCAATATCATTAAAAAGGATGACAATGAGAAATAGATAGCTTAGGTGTGCAAATTTTACATCACAGCGTGAATTACATTATATAATGACAATTGATCCATATCGAGCATTTTGACAAATGTTTTGAATTTGAGAATAGTATCTAATGAGATCCTAACTTTGGTCTAACAATAAAAATCCTGCATCAATCTTGTTGCTCTCTTCATCAAATTAATTCCTATGGTTTTGTAAATAACCAAAAAGGGAGCCACATACGAAAACTTCAAACATTCATGAAGATAATATAACTAAGCATACATGTGATAACCCTCATTTTCTAGGGAAGAATATGGATGAAAATGTTTTGACATTAAGCAAACACATTCTTAGATCCAACAATGGGACAAGTGGTTAGACAAGATATATCAACAGAATCACCATTCACCACTAAAAGAAATGTGCACAACCATAATGACTTGATGATGCACAATTTCCTAGACTCTAAACAATGTAGGGAGCTTTACATAAGATAAATCCTGCTTACTTGCATTCTTTCACATAGTGTGTTAGGACAGAACGAGATGAAGAGAGAAGAAGAGAGATAGGTAGACGAGAAGGAGAGAACAGAGAGAGCAGAGGGAAGTTTTGATGAGACATTCTCAATAGTGCGTTTTATTAAAGTGAGTTCAACTACTACACTTTGTATCTAGACTTGGGTATTTATAAGGATGGACTATTAGACTAAATAATAGTAACAGTACCAACCCAAAGAAATAACATTTATACCCCCGCCCCAACTAATTCCTATAGCTCCTAATATTTTCATATCAATACTCCCCTCCCCAACATCCTTGCCCTTAAGGATCAAAAAGAGGAAAATCTGGAAACTGTTTTTGAAATTTGAACTGAGACAGCCATGTAGTACTCCTCATCTGGCAAGCCTTTTCACTGAACTAATACTTTAGTAATAATCCTTCCTTTCTTCCTTCCCACTCGTTTGTTCAATATTTTCTCAGGAAGTAACATTTATGGGATTTCTGGCCATTCATCAGGCGGATGTCTCTGCTTCACTGATGGGTTAGGGTATAACTTGAGCAGAGAAACATGAAACATGGAATGAATTCTAGAACTAGGAGGTAATTCCAGTCTGTAAGCAACCTTCCCAATCCTCTTGAGCACTTTATAAGGCCCAAAGTACCTTGGTGCTAGCTTTTGAGTGCTTCTAGACATAATAGAGATTTGTCTATAAGGTGTAATTTCAAAAACATCCATTGACCTTCTTCAAACTCTTGATCAGATCTTTTCAAATCAGCCCTTTGCTTCATTAAATTCACTGCCCTATGCAAATGATGCCTTAACACTCCAATCATGCGTTCCCTTGCCTCAAAACTCCTGTCCACAGCTTCAACAATTGCTAATCTAGGCAAATAAGGAACATATAGAGGAGGTTTCTGCCCATAAAGTAATTCATAGGAGTAGCCTTGATGGAAGTATGAAAACTAGTATTATACCACCATTCAGCAAGTGGTAACCATTTACTCCATTCTTTAGGATTCTCCCAACACATACAACGTAGATAAGTTTCCAAACATCAATTGAGCACCTCGGATTGACCAGCAGTTTGAGGATAGTAGGAAGAAGTAAGCTTTTGCTCCACTCCAATCACCTTGAGGAACTCCTTCCAAAAATTACTAATAAACACTGGATCCCTATCACTTATCACTTCAACCGCGGCTCCATGCAATCTATATATATTATCCAAGAATGCTTGAGCTAACGTAAAAGCTGAAGATGGGTGAGATAAGGCCATAAAATGGGCAAACTTGCTCATTCTATCCACTACAACCCAAATGACTTCTTTCCCACCTGATTTAGAGAGCCCTTCGATAAAATCCATAGTAACACTCTCCCATACCTTACTCGGAATTGATAGTGGCTGTAACAACCCCGGACTTGCCACTGTCTCATACTTACAGAGGGCACAAGTGTCACAATTTTTGATAAAATCTTGCACATCTCGTAGCATTTTCTTCCACCAAAATAACCCTTTGATTTTCTGATGTGGCTTGTATTCCAGAATGTCCCCCTTAAGCACTGGCGTGTAACCATTCTAGAATAAATTGCCTCAAAGCTGGACTTTCCCCTACCACCAGCTTCCCATTTCTTCTAAGGAATTTGCCATCCCAAGAATAGGCCTTAATACTGCCATTTTGTCTTTGTAACTCAGAAATAAGGCCCTTGAGATCTGGATCCAACTCCCAACTCTCCTCAAGCTTGTGTAATAATTCTGGAGATGATGTATCTAAAGTCATCTAAAGTCACTAAGGTTGTGAGAGTCGAGAAAGAGCACCTGCAGTTGTGTTATCATTCCCTTTTTTATAATGAATTTCATAGTCATACCCCATTAACTTTGTAACCCAATACATTTGAAAAGGGGTCTTCAACTTCTATCCCAACAAAAATCGAAGGCTTTGCTGATCTGTTTTGATAATAAACCTCCTTTTTTCAAGGTATTGATGCCAATGCTCAACAGTTAGGACAACTGCCAATAATTCCTTCTCATAAACTGCAAGTTAGAGCTGTTTGGGACCCAAAGCCTTGCTGAAAATGCAATGGGTTGATTTCCTTAGAGCAAGACGGCCCCAATTCCCTTTCCACAAGCATCCATTTCCACTACAAACTCTTTATTGAAATCTGGGAGAGATAAAACAGTTGCTGAAACAAGTATTTATTTTATCTTCTTGAATGTGACAGCAGCTTCTTCATGCCACTAGAATGCATTTTTCTTTAAAAGGTCCGTTAAGGGTTTGATTATTTGTCCATACCCTTTTATAAACCTTCTATAGTACTTGGCAAGCCCTAAAAAGGACCTCAATGGTTTAATAGTAGTTGGTGTAGGCCAATCTACCATTGCTTGAATTTTCTGAGGTTGGCCGTGCTGTTTAAGTTGTGTTTTGGCGAGACCCATCACGTGAGAAGCTCTGTTTTGGTGCTGCTCAGGCATTCGCAGAATGCAAAAAGGCTGTAGATGTCATAATGTTGCTCTGCAATGCGTAGGATAACTTTCTTGAGCATGCGGCTACTTCTAGTGATCTCTGAAGGTGTATTTCTTGAAGTCAGGCCAGACTTCTTGTATCGTGAACAGTTGTGGGCTTAAGTAATCTCACTGGCCCAACATATTCTTCTTGTAAACCTCTAAATAGGTCTACACTACACCAGATACTCCTCAGTTAGGTCCAGCTTACATACAATTTCATCAAAAGAGTCATTGTAATCTCCTAAGCTCCCTGTCTGTCGCAGCCACATCAGTTTCGCCATGTGTGCTTCATAAGTGGGTCCAAATCAGTTCTTTATGGCTTCCAAGTATTCTTCCCATCCAGTCGCACATCTCCTTCTGGTGCACATGAAGCTTTGATGCCATTGAAAGGCCTTCTCATCAAGATGGATACTACCATCATTGCTTTCCACGCGTCTGGGGTGTTATCCAGCTGGAAGTACTGGTCGCACTTCATGAGCCATCCAAGAACATCTCCTCTCTGGAATCTTGGAAACTCCATCTTGGTAAATCAGGTAGGAGGTTGGTATTCTCGTTCTTGTCTTGGTCGCCAGCGTCCTTCTCCAATTCTTCACTGGTGTCCTTCTGCCTCATTGGAGTCTGTCTCGTGATGAATTCGAGACTCTTCCACTGTGCAGACAAGTTCTGCGATCTGGGTAGTGAGCCCTTCAATCTGATTTTCAACCATCGTGAGTCTTGCATCTGTTTCTTTGACCATTCTTGTTTGCAGACAAGTGACGGGCATACGAGGGAGGAAGGACAGGCTCTGATACCACTGTTAGGATAGAAAGAGATGAAGAGAGAAGAATAGAGATAGGTAGACGAGAAGGAGAGAACAGAGAGAGAGCAGACGGAAGTTTAGATGAGACGTTCTGAATAGTGCATTTTATTAAAGTGAGTTCAACTACTACACTGTGTATCTAGACTTGGGTATTTATAGGGATGGACTATTAGACTAAATAATAGTAACAATACCGACCTAAAGAAATAACATTTATACCCCTACCCCAACTAATTCCTATAGCTCCTAATATTTTCATATCATAGTGCTTTAGACTTAAATTATCAATTGAGGCTAAGCCTAATATTTTCATATCATAGTGCTTTAGACTTAAATTATCAATTGAGGCTAACTCAACTAAGATATACTACTAGCAAAACAAATTAAAGCAATGCCATAATATAAATGAGAAAAAATGCACAAATGAGGTCATACCACCCATCTCTGCCTGTATGCCCTTTGGATGGCAATGGCAAGAAGTCATCAATGACCAATCGAGGATATTGGCTCTGCAAAAAAATTTGAGGAATAAAAAAATAAAACCCACACAAGAAATTAAAGCTAAGTCCAGAGAATACAGAAAATATTAGAGCAAAATGTCAGAGATTGCCATAACAAACCTGGTTGAAAGTATGGATTTCAATGTTTGAGTTTTTATATTTTTCAACAACCTACAGATAGAAAAATGGGTCAGCTTACATAATTCTGCATAAAGTTCAACCAGCAAAGAGGATTAAAGGTGAGCACCAAGCACCTTAAGAGTGTCATCATGAGTATTGAATGAGTTCATCAGAAGCAGAGGAACGTTGCTTCCATACTTGTCATTAAGGTTCTAAAATGATAGGAGTTATCAGAAGAAAGGACGCGTGGTGAGGAAAACAAGGAAACAAAAAATTTCTTGCAAGGACCGGAAAATAACCTCAATTTGGATGACAATCAAATCAAGAAATGTCAACCCATCACGAACTTCAATGACAGATCTGCAATTATGCAGGCCATCATAAATGCTGACATCGGGAAAAATAACAACCAAACTAATTTACATTGCAAATTTGCAAGAAATTTCCTCTCTAAATTCAAGCCATGAGACTAAGACTATACGTACATTTCTATCGTTTCTATAGCATTATGCGGACAAAAATTTACAATGAACTCTTAAGTAAATGGAGGAGTGCCGTTTCGCTAAAATAAAATGCCACGCACACTCTATTCATTGCTATATCTATAAAGTTGATGTATCAAGGACATGATTAAAAAGCATAGCATTATTGCCAAATGTTATTTCTTTTTTAATAGATTTGTCACACATCGCACAATTCTACACAAAAAATTCGGTATCAGCGTAATGCGAGAGAAAGATTATTAATCACACAGCTAATCTTTATCTTGACTGAAGCTTCAGGCCGTCCAACTATACATAAAGGGAAAAAAGGGGGGGAGGGATATATATATATATATATATTCAAACTATGCTTACTTTGGACCAGTACAGCCCATAGTTGTACCCAAGCCTCCATTAAGCTTCAGCACCACAAGCTTGTCCAAGAGATTCTTAATCTCAGAAGGACCTGCAGCGATTTTGATTTCTATAAATGATAATACTAATTTAAGATGTACCAAATTGACAACAGCAAACAGAGCAAGATGGTTACCATCAGGAGCCGGTGCCAAACTCTCGTAAGGTACCACTACTTCATCAGTCGGCGTCTGGATCTTACTCCATTCAACATGTTGCGCTTCGCCACTTTAGTGCATTAGAAAAGGTTGGAGGGAAAAAAGAGCATGATCAGCTAAATTTATGGATCACAATATCCTCGCTCGGTGGTAGAGCAGAAACACGTAGAGATGACAAATTGCAAGCACACATGCTCAGCTTCCTAACAAAAGATTCACCTGAGATAGCGAGCCACGAGGTTGATGAATCCACTTTTCTCATTCTCACTGCAACGGACGTCAAGATTCAACAATAGATATAAAGAAAATCAGTTTGCTTTGCGATCCGAGATCGAAGCTCTAGACGCGTGATTTTCCGACAAGGAAAACAATCCGAACAACAAAAACAAGAAATGATCGAAGAGACGTCCTAAAATAAGAAGAAGAACGAAACAATAAAAGTCAAGAAACGTGAGACCTGATTTGACTCAATCCAGCAACAGCTGACTTGAGGTTGGAGAGCTTGTCAGTATCGGCGGGGTAGAGAGTGGCGGTGGCCATTGCTGTAGAAGATTCGGCAGAAAAAGATACGAGGCTACGTGTGGAGATGAGAGAGCAAGGATAGCGAGTGTTCGAAGGAAGGATATAGAAGAGAATGAGAATAGCGTGGTGGTGCCCTCGGATATCGACAACAAAACAAGGCGTTTGGCAGATTTTGATTTCTCTTTTTTTTTTTTTGGTAGGAATTTCTCGTATTGATTGACGCTGTTGATTGGAAAATGCATCCGAATATAATGTTCTAAAATAGCGGCGCCTGTTTCACGCCAATGTAAGAACGAACAATTTGGGTGCCCAGCCCACTGGTTTTGACCTTGGTCCTCTGTTTGGGCTCAATCTTTTTTACTTTGGGCTTGATTTTGAGCCCTCGTTCTTCGTGCTATCGTTTCTCATTTCTCAACATTTTAATTCCGATATAAATAAATATTTATTAAATATTGAATAAAAAGTTCCTTGCATATATGTGTGCGTATATAGGGGAAGTAATTCCTATATTTTCACCAATTTATTCATTTTTTTGTCTCTCTTTCACTCAGTTTAATATTGGTGATAGTTGACAAAAAAATTTAAAATTAGTGCATATTTCTTTATCATAAATATCAATCATGAACCTTTTGGGGAATTTTAGTTAATCTTTTATGTTGCATGAATTTAAAACATCTTAATAGTTTTAGTAATTAGTCGTGTTTTGTTTGCTTATCTGTTTATAAATATAGAATAATATATTATCAAGGAAAAAAATTTCATGAACCTAGTAAATCACATCATCCATACTTTGTCTAATAAAAAATTATTATATTAAATAGTTATAAATATAAATTGATTTTGGTATTGATGATGATAAAAAGAAGAAAAATTAAAGAGACACTCCATTTAAAAATAAATTTATTAAAAATGATGATGTATAAAATTTTATTTAATTGTAATGATGTAATATGACATATTTCATCGAACCAATGCAAGAACTTTTGCATTAGCTAACATCCTTATGAGAGCTAGATTCATAAATTACGAATATATTGCTACAAAAATCACCACGCAGAAAACATTTTCTCACGCGTCGCATAGAACTTTAGCATGATGAATTACAATGTTCATGATTTTTAAACAATGATTTATGCCTCTATCACGACACGTCACATTAATTGATAATTAGGGACAATGGGATCGTGAAATTATAAGAAAGAAATCAGTGTCGAGTCACGGGATTAAAATAGCTGACAGGATTATGTGACGACGGAGGCATGAAGCATCAAACCGGGGACCATAGCGGTTGGGCCAAGAACATCAATTTTATCAAAAAGCAAAGGGTTATCCAAGGGGCCAGCCGGCTTCGACTTTACTCCATGGATTCGCGTCGAGGTCGCTGTGTAGTCCGAAACTTCAGACGTTTGGAAGGATACAAAATAATAGATAAATAGGAGTTGGATGGAAAATGAATATCTCAGCAAGTGGGGGGGCCCTTTTGGATTTTGGGAAATTTAGGCGATGCTGGTACTAGGAATGTGCAAGGGAATTCTGATTGGTTAATTATATGTTTCTTCTCCTAGTACACTGCCATTGTCGTCCATTTAGATTTTGCTGTTTAACCAAACTGTTTCGCCCCTAGGTGCTTTTGCTTTTGCTCTTGCTCGTTTGATCATGTATGGCTGCCTCCAATTTTAATAATCACAATTATTTGCTGAGGCAGTTTCAAACTAGAGCGCGCGTGGTTTTATGCTGAAAGTTACTAAAAATAATCATAATTGTTTGCTCGTTTTAGTGGTTTTCAACCGAATGTATTCTTCTTTTATTTGGTGAAACCGAAAATGTCCCTTTACTCCCTTTCGCTTGTCATTTATGTAATAAATACTACCTTCAATCTTAAATACAAGTTAATTAAGAAAATTAATTAAAATAAGTTTGTTATTGTTCTACATTTTTTTTTCAGATTTTTCATTCATAATCAATGTTTCTCGTTTGTTAAATTCCAAAATAATTACTCATTGATGAGTAGTATTTGTGCCAAAAAAAAAAACATTCAGTGACTTCTGTTTTTAACTGTAAGCTAAGTATAGAAGTGACTTATATTTTAGACCTGTAATTTTCAATAAAATGATTATATTTGGGGTAAGAGATGATATCAGTTAAGACCTTTTTTTGATTTAACGAGTTTTGATTATGCAGGTTAAAGGCCAATTTGAAATATGTTATCACAATAATTGTATTTTTTAAATTGCATTTAAATAAATTTAAACTGATTGTATCTTGAAAATGAGGAAGTCGTGAATATAAAGTTTATAATAAATTTCATTTATATTGTTTTTCAAACACACACGCGTCTACTTCCAACAAATTAACAGCTAAAGCTACTAAGGCAGGCGCAATAAAGAATTATAGTTCCATCACCATCCAGATTCATGCCCGCAGAATAGTTATTGCCGGTTGCTATTGTGATATAGTATTTCACGATCATATGGGAGTGCATGCTAAAAGTAACTCATCAATGATAGACTCGCTAGTAACATGTTGGGATAGTAGCGTTATCCACGTTTAATGTTTGGCTGCCTTTTAAATAAGATTGCTATCGCTCAAAGGATTCTTATATATAAATCACTTTTAATTAACTTGTCAAAGTCTAAAGTTAAGAAATAAGTAAGCTTTACTCGTATGGATCTTATCCTTATGAGATCAAGTCTATAAGTTTAATTTTTTTTGAATTTGATCATTTTTTTAAACTTAATTCTCATTGAATTAGCAGTGAGCCATGCCCATAAACTCTTTTCTTAAAAAAAAATTGACATTATAACATTGCAAGTTAATTAAAATCTTCTAAAAATTAAAATAAATAGAACACATCTAAATCCTCAATTATAACACAATCATAAGTCAAGCTTTTCCATATTAATCACTACATATAAATGTATAGATTGGATATGGATAGGACGAGAGAAGAGAACTTATTTCAAATTATAAAGATGGTTTATATATAAAAAATAACAAATCAAATAACCAATCTCATATTTGTTTCACACTATCACAAAATATTTTAAATAAAAGATTCACCAAATAAATCAAACAAAAGAGAGATGGGGTTCATGGCTACAAACCTTGTTTTAATTCATAAACAAACCTGAAAAATGAATTACAAATCATTCATGTTTTCTCATTTCTAAATTATTTATGAATTCTTTTAAGAAAAATTAATGAGAGTTTGGAAGGCTGTCCAAATCCAAACTTATTTTTACATGGCCTAATAAAGCTAAAAGTTAAAAACTCAATTATACTTGAAATCTTTAATTTTTAAGCTTGAATTTATATTAAAATGAACTTAAATAAGCAACTCATCAAGTTCAGTTTTGTCAAAAATCAAAATAAGCTAGTTAAAATAATAAAAGTGTCTTAAATTTTCATCAATTTTCAATCTCATACCTAACAAATGTTATCTTTAAATACTTTTTTATATTATACTGAAATATGGCTAAGAGCAATGGCAGAGTCACATTGGTTTGAGGAGATGCAAATGCACCCTCTCACTTTGGAGAAAATTATAAGGTAAATAAAATTTATAACTTTACATCCCCTATTCTTAATACTTTGCACCATGTGAATTAAATAAAAAATATTTAGGCTTAAAAATTTAGTACATATATAATATTTTAATGATTTAAATAATATATGAAGAGCATATTTATAATAAAAGACCACGTCAATCTGTTAATATAATTTTTTAAAATGAAAGATGATAATAAAACTATTTACGTTATTATAATTTTAGTTATAGCATAATTATTATTTTTTAAAAAACTAATTTTTATTAAATTATTTTGCACCCTCTAACTCAAGGTTTTGGCTCCTCCACTGGCTAGGAAGACATTTATAGAATAACTCCTTGAGTGCTGCATCAAAAGATTAGAAATGATTCATATTGATAAATACAATGATTGTGATTTCTTTCTAAAAGGTGCTCATTAATGTATGGAATTGAGGCGAATAATTTTTAATCCCTAAATATTTTTTTAATTATAAATTTTTAAATCCTGAACCTAAACTTAGTTACAACTAATAAGTTATCCGCTGCTTATATTTATGACCAATTATGTGATTAATGTTTAGAAAAATATAACTTTTGGTTCCATTACTTTTAGAGTGTTTTGATATTAATTGCTATACTTTTATTTTATTGTTTCTAGTCTTGTAAGTTTCACTTGTCTATAATGTCAATTTTTATATTTTTTAAATATGATCACAAGGACTTAACAGTAATTCACATGTGTATGAATTGTGGCACTTGTTGTAGTTGTTAATTAAAATTATGATGAATTGTATAAAAAAAGGGTAGACAATAAAAAAAAAAGCAATACAACAAATCAAAATCCTTGAATGTGAAGTGGATGAAACTTTAGAAGGAGGAGAATATATAAATAGGGCAACCAAACAAAAAAGTTAATATTTATTTTGCTTGCATAATTTATATATAAATCAACTCGCTAACAAATTAAATAGATTAGTGAAAATATACAATTCATCACAATTTATCAGCTTGCTACCAGAATTAAATAGATTTATATATAAATCAATAGATTTAAATCCATAAGCAATGATAAGGACTAATATTTTAGATACATGAAACTTTAGGGACTTGAAGTAATAAAATAAAAGTAAAAGAACTAAAACCAAAACATTTTAAAATTATAGAAATAAATAATTATATTTTTTTTCTTAAAATATCCGGCTTAAAATGTCAAACCTAGATCGCACGGGTACACTTGTGGCATCATGTAAACTATCTCCAATCCAATTAATAAATTGAGGACAGGGAGGTAATGGTTGAGTTTGGGGAATGCATTATTTGCTGACAATGATAGACACCGAGGACATAAAGAGCAAACCTAATAATGTGGGTGAAGCATCATACGTTTTGCGAGTGGGAACAGGAATTTACTCAATGGATGATGAGGAATAGCGTTCAGGGGGAAAAAAACAGAATAAAATTGTCGCCCGCAAATCCTTTTGAAAGTAGCTCCTCATCTACACACGCATTAGTTCCGAATCATGGTACGATATCAATTCTAATTCTTTTGGTTTTTTTATTTTTCACGTTCATACAATATTCCCATTTCCATTTTCCAGTGTCAGCATTATAGGTGGTTTACTTATTCGGATCTGCCCAGATTCT